TTGCAGATCGACGAAGGTGGCCTGCTGTGGATGGCGCCCGTCTGCAGCAGCTTTGTGTTCATGAACTCTGTGAAATGCCAACGTACTGTCAACCGCCCAGCAGGTAACACTGCGTACCCGCCTGTGAAGGAAGGCAATCGCATGGCCAGCATTGCAGCTTTTCTGTATGCCCTCGCAATGTTGCGTGGGGTCCACCCTGTCATTGAACAGCCAGCGGGCAGCATCATGTTCAGGTACAAGCCCCTCGCCAAGGTCCTCAGCGTTTTCCACCATTGTTCCGCCACCTGTGCCAGGTGCCATTTCCAGGTGGATGCTCCCGAAGGCGAGAGGTTCCTGAAACGCTACAAGTTTGTTGGTGAGACATGGGTGAAGAGTTTGCAGCAGAACTGCACATGCCGTGACGGGATTCATAAATCCATGGTCAAGGAAGATGAGCATGGAGGAAGGACTGGCGATCGGAAGCTTCTGAAGGAGAGCCAGTCCTACCCCCGGAAGCTGGGAAATTGGATTGTGCACAACTGGCTCGAGCAGCACAGGCTCATGCCATGCTTCCAAGAGTCCACTGTCCCACTGTCGCCTGTCCCTGTGCAGAAGCACACCAGCACGAAGTCAGTGTGGAAGCGGCCAAGTTCAACTTCCAGTTCCGATCCTGATGCCAAGAGGCAGAAGGCAGCTGGGGCACAGTGGAAGCGGCCAAGTGCACCTGCCAGTTCGGCCCCTGTTAGCAAGAGGCAGAGGAAGCAAAGTTTCCAAATTCCGTGCAGCAGCTGGAAGCGCTGCTTGTGAGATTTGCTATTGAATGAGCCGCTCGCTTGAGCCGAAGGTTTGCGCCTGGTGGGGTTAAAACAGTGCTCAGCACCTGCGTGTGCAGGTCCTTGAAGGGGGTGCTGCTGCTGCTGCTCCTGCTATTGATTGCTTGTTTGTATTGTGAATTGCCATGATGATGCTTGTTAGCACAGACAATAGTAGTAATTAGTAGTTGCACTGCCAGAACTGCACATGAACTTTTGTTGTTGGCTGCCACGGAGGCTGTCGCTGTAAATTTTGGCTCCAGAACTGAGTCCACTGTCCACTGTCCATTGTCGACTGTCGACACTGCCATGGACGTCCACTGTCCATTGTCGACTGTCGTCGCCGCCATGGACGAAGCCCCTACTGAAATCCTCTCGCCGGCATCGGAGAGCGACTCCGAGGTCGAGGATGTTCAAAGGGAGCTCGAGAACCTGGAGCTCATGTCCGTTTCCGCCGAGGGCGAGACTGAGACCGCTTCTGCTGAAGACTTGGCGAAGGAATTGAGTGTGCTGCTTGATGAAGAGCTGGGAGAAGTTCGCATATCAGTGAAACTGATGCAGATGACGGAAATATGTGTGTGGTGCGGGATGGTCTATTTCGAGCAGTACCTTGATGGCTATGAGCGCTGCCGCCTGGACTCATGTTTTTCTGAGCAGTATCACTGCTCGTGCAGCGGTTGAACCGCTTGTGTGCGATGTCCATGGATCACACGCCGTAATTGCCCTACTACCCATGGATCACACGCCGTATAATTGCCCTACTACAACACTGTCCATTGTTCACTGTCACCTGTCCACTGGGACGAGTGACGGTGACAAAGCATCCATGAGACTGGCAAGTTTCCAGTTTTGCCAGACGGCAGGAAATTAACAGTTGGCACCAGCAACTTGCCGCAAGAGCCGGGGTTTTCAACATGCTCTTTGCGTCTGAGAAAAATGACCTGGGCAAGCCTGCTATTTCGCCATCATACCACAGTGGACAGTGCACAGTGAACAGTACAGTGGGTGTGGGTGAGGGCAAATAGGTGGGGAAAGGCGAATTAACCGATGGAGGCGTCGGTTAATTCGCGACCTTTTTAATTGTGGGGGAGGGATTCCGGGCCTAGGGGGTGTAAGGGGCCTAGTAAGCTAGTTTGTGGACTGGGAGTGTGCTGTTGTGCAGGTGCTGCTGTCCTACCTCGACAAGCTCAGACTCTCTCACACACACTGTCCACTGTCCATTGTCAGCAGCAGCAGCCGCAGCAGCAGCAGCAGTAGCAGCGAAAGTGGTAGTAGTGGCAGCGGTGGTAGTACTGCCAGAAGCAGTGGTAGTATTATAGGTAGTAATAGTAGTACTAGTAGTAATAATAATAATAGCAGTTGTAGTGGCAGTAGTAGCAGCAGCAGCAGTAGTGGTAGTGGTAGTAGTGGCAGAAGCAGCAGCAGTAGTGGCAGTAGTAGTAGTGGTAGTAGTAGTAGTAGTAGTAGTAGTAGCAGTAGTAGTAGTAGTAGTAGTAGTAGTAGTAGTAATAGTAGTGTAGTAGTAGTGGTAGTGGTAGTGGTGGTAGTGGTAGTGGTAGTGCTAGCGGTAGTGGTAGTGGTAGTGATAGTGGTGGTATAGTGGTAGTGGCATAGGCAACAGCGTGCGCAGGCAGAGGCAACAGCGCGCGCGCATTAGGCAACAGTGCGCGCGCAGCGTGCGCGAGCACAGGACACAAGGGGACGAGCACAAGCAACAGTGCGCGCGCGCAGCGCGCGCGCAGTGCGCGCGCAGTGTGGGCGCAGCGTGGGCGAGCACAGGCAACAGCGCGCGCAGTGTGTGCGAGCACAGGCAACAGCGCGCGCGCAGTGTGTGCGAGCACAGGCAACAGCGTGGGCGCAGTGCGCGCGCAGTGCGCGCGCAGTGCGTGCACAGTGTGTGCGAGCACAGGCAACGGTGCGCGCGCAGTGCGCGCGCAGTGTGTGCGAGCACAGGCAACAGCGCGCGCGCAGTGTGTGCCAGCACAGGCAACAGCGTGCGCGCAGTGCGCGCGCAGTGCGCACGCAGTGTGTGCGAGCACAGGCAACAGTGCGCGCCCAGTGTGCGCGCAGTGTGTGCGAGCACAGGCAACAGTGTGCGCAGAGCATGCGCGCAGTGTGCACGAGCACATGCAACAGCGTGTGCGAGCATAGGCAACAGTGCGTGCAGGAACAGTCAACAGCGCGCGCGAGCACATGCACACGTGCATTGGACAGGGGACAGTGTCGTTACTGCGACTAATACTAGTACTACGACTACTACTACTACTACTACTACTACTACTACTACTACTACTGCTACTACTGCTACTTCTATACTACCACTATACCACTTTAGACTGTACTACTACCACTACCACTACTACTACCCACGACTACCACTTCTACTATTACTACTACTACTACTACTACTACTACTACTACTACTCCTCCTGCTGCTGCTGCTGCTGCTGCTACTACTACTACTACTACTACTACTCCTGCTGCTGCTACTACTACTACTACTACTACTCCTGCTGCTGCTGCCACTACTACTACTACTACTACTACTACTACTACTACTACTACTACTACTACTACTACTACTACAGAGAACAGTGTCGTGTATATTCCCTCTGGCAACAATATATTCACGACATCATTTTTGAGCTTGCCCTGCCCCACCCCCATTCCAATTTGCAATCTGTTTTCCGGCTGCTTGCTGCTCCTGCTTTTGCTGCTGTTGCTGTCCACTGTTCACTGTTCATGGTCTTCAATGCTCACTTTAAATCCTGCTTTCAAAGCCCCTTTAAGGCTCCCAAAACGAAAAGGTCAGAAGGTTAGATACCAACGAACGGAAGGTCAGTTGCTTTGAACAGGGATTTTTTGTCAGTTGGCACCGGAGCCTTACGATCAGGACCTTTGGTCGAGCCCAGGAGACAGGCAATCTGTGCACTCTTGTGGTTTGGAGGCAGTGGCGAGTGCTGCTAAGAAGGAGGCGCTTTACTTGGAGCTGCGGGCCGTGACTTTGGGCTTTGCTGCTCCCTGTGGCCTGGAATGACCCAGGCAGCGGGCACTGAGGCCACTACTGGCTTCTATCGTGATCGTGACCCACCACCGTCGTGGAATGGAGAAAGGCCAGAAGCAACGCTTAAGCCTTTCCTCAAGGACTTGGAGCTGTGGGAGGTCATCTCGGATCTTCCTGCAAACAAGCGTGGGCCGAAGTTGGTTCAGGCCCTGACGGGCGCAGCGAGGGAAGCCGTTAGGTCCTTGGAAGTGTCTGCCTTGATAGCCGACGACGGGGTCAAGACTGTGGTGAAGACTTTGAAGGAAGCTTTTCAACCATATCAGGAAACCTCCCTTCCCCGTGCTATGGAGGCAGCGCTCTATGGACAACCGCGCAGCCACAAGGAGACCATTGCCGAGTACCTTGTCAGGTTTTCGCAGGCGCAAGCCAGCCTGAGAGATGAAGGAGTTGAGCTACCTGTCAAGGCAAAGGGCTACCTCTTGTATCGCCAGTCGAACTTGGATAAGGAGCTGGACGTGCGCTTGCTGACCTGGCTGGCTGGCGACTTCTCCTTGGATGTGGTGACGGCGAACCTTCGCCGACTGGACCGCGCTATGCAGGAGGGCACCAAGAAGGGCATGCAGGCATTTTATGAGGACGCCGAGGGCGACGAGAACTACGAAGAGGACTATGCCGACCAGGAGGACCCCACCTTCGAGGACTATGCCGAGCAAGCCTATCATGGAGCCGACGAAGCAGAGAACTACTACGAGGACCCGGGCCACGGCGACATGCTGGAGGAGGTGATCGAGGAAGACGACCTCCTGGAGATCCTGGCCAGCTACCAGGACATTCGGGACAGCATGCGCCATGTCAGGAACGGACGCGGCTTTTATCCCAAGGGCAAGGGCAAGTCCTTTGGACCACTGCGCGGAGGTTGGGTCGCGTATTGGGCTCACTATTTTCACTCTGCAAAAGAGGGCTGCGGTGAGTCGCAGTCAGGTTAAAGCTCTTTAGCTCAAACCCTCTTCTCTCTACACTGTACAGCTACTTACCTAGGTTTCCTAGTGTAGCCTACAAAAATCTCGCACCCCCCCTTAGAGGTAGGGGTTTGAGAAAGCCTCCCGCGGGGCATCCCGCAGTCGGAGGGTGAGACGCCCCTGGTATGGCGGAGCGTCCCGCACACAGGGCTGGCAGCCGTAAGGCTCGCCCTGCGGTGCTACCCGCTAGGGGCCTCTAGGTGGATGCTCCCAGTGGCGGGAGTTGTTCACCGCACTGCCGGGCTTGGTGCTCTGGTGCCCGTTGCGGCAGTGGAGACACACCCTGTGTCTGATCGTTGCCCCTTGCATGAATGGGCAACCGCGCTGTTGGCCATGGTACCGGCGCACGACGCGGCCGGTGGCCACTTGAAAGGCGAACCCGGTCCAGAGGAACTCGGTGTTCTGAGGATCTGCTGCACAATGGCAGCGAAAGCCGATCAGGATTTGATCCGCTGGGACGGAGCTCAGCCCATTACAGTTGGTGAACAGGTGGATCTTGTCACCACGGGCTGTCTCGTAGAGATGCTCGTCGTCCCCGGACAGGGGTTCCGGTCCCCTACGCCTGCGCCGCACCCTTGGTGCAGCGGGCGGCGGTGGTGGAGGAGCTGCCGCAGGGGGCGGACCTGGGGTCCGCTCACCCTCAGGTTCTGGCTCCTGAGCTTTTTAGGCTGTTGCCCCCTCCTTTTTTGTTGCGCCTCTTGCGGCGCTTCTGGCCCTAGCCAGACCTCCGTGGCCCTTTGGGCTGCACGCGGCGGCTCTTCGACACGCTTCGGCGTGGTGCTCGATCTCATCTTCGGGCTCTGGCTCCTGCCTTTCAGGTCTGCGTCTGCAGAGCCAGGAGACCAGGCTCCAAAGCATCCACAGGAAGGCCAGGAAGCCAAAAGCCGCGAAGCCGAGCACCAGCTCAGCAAAGTCGTGCCCTTGGGCCTTAGCAGGTCGAACCTGCAGTGCCACGATTGTGGCCATGAGCGCCGAGCTCGTGAGCTTGGTCGGCGGTCTCATCTTCCAGGGGCTTGCCTGGATCGACTTGATCGTGCCCTTTTGGGCCAGAGCCTCGGTGGCGCCTGCGACCGCATCGAGGTCCACCATGCCCATGGAGGGCAGGGATTGCCGCACCTCCGGTCCAGTCTTCGCGTGCTTGGTAGCGAAGTTTGCCGGATTTTCGGTTCCCTTAACTTTTCTCAGTTCGAGAAGTTTGGCTCTGAGCGCGCCTTGGACAAAGAATTCCGCGACTTCCAGGTGTCTCAGCTTGGACCCTGGTCCTATGCGCTTGGCGGCTCCGATCGAGGCTGCGGAGTCTGCCCAGAGCCGCGGCAAGCCGCAGGCTAGGGCGAAGTCTTTCTCCGCAAGCTCTCGTAGGAAGACGGCCTCCCTTGCTGCTCGCGACACTCCCCGGATCTCCGCGTCTCCGCTGGAGGTGGCTGGGAGGCCGGGCTGTGTCTGGCAGCTTGTCTGGATGACTGCTCCCCCGAGACAGGCAACTATGTTGTCTGTGCTCCTTCTCGTTTCTGGGCACCCTGCCCAGTCGGAGTCGGAGTAGACCTCCAAGTTCAGAAGAGCTGTGCTCTTGGACGCGGGGTCCAGCACAACTACCCTTCCAAACCGCGGGGTTGCCCGCAGGTATCGCGCGAGGGTTTCCGCAGCGAGCCAGTCGCAGACCCTTGGGTTCTGCATCCTTCGCGCCAGCTCTTTCACGGCGAACTGTATGTCTCGCCTGTCCGCCGACAGGTAGATAGCACTACCCACGGCGCTGCGGAACCTCGCGGCGTCACCCGCAGAGAGCTCCTCGACCTTGGTCAGGTCCAGAGGTCTGCTAGGCACGGTCCCCTTGTCTTTTGGACCGATGCCCAGCTGCTCGCACATTCTCAGCGTGCTTGCTGTCGGGCAGCGTGAGGATAGAGTCCTCTGTGCGCACCTTGGTCCTTCCCAGGACCTCCACCGCTGTGCCCGGCTCTTCCAGTTCTCCCACCGTTATCTCACAGTGCGTCGGAAGGTCCACCTCCGTGAACTTCAGCACTGCGGCCTTGGGGCCTGCGACACGGATGTCGTCGATGTGGTGGAGAAGGATTAGGCCGGACCGGCGGTCTAGGTACACGCACGGGTCCTTCACGCCCCGCTGGAAGTCGTAGTCCTTGGCCAGCTTGCCAGCGAGGACTTCTTCCAGCTCGTCCCTGTAGACGGACCCAGCCGTTCTTCGGCCGTAGAGGTTGCCGTCCACTCGGAACACAAAGTCCCGGAAGTGGTCTCGGTACCACTGCTGGTCCTTTGCAGGCTGCTCCAAGACCCATTGGTCAAAGAGCTCGCGCCACTCCACAGGCGCATACATGTAGACCGGGCGGCCTTCCGCCGCACCGCGGTCCTTCCCTATGAGGAAGGCGGCCACAATATCCAGAGACCTTGTGACCCACCCTTCGTTGTGTAGCGCTGCTACCTCAAGTAGGGAGTGACTCTCGGGCGTTGGCGTTGGGACGAAAACGTCCAAGCCAGCTTCCTGTTCTGGGCTGTAGCGGGCCTTGACAGGTACACCTTGACTTGTACCTTCCTTTGTCGCACTTGTCGACCCACTTTGCCCTGAACAGCTGCGCCCCGCGCGGTACTTCAGACCGCAGCACAGGCGTGAAAGCGCCTCGGTCCCACAGCTTTCTTAGCTGCTCCTTGCGTGCCTGCTCGACCTGCTTGGGGTCGAGCATCCGGTCTAGCAGGTCTGTCACCTGCCCAACCCACGCGTCCCGCTCGCCCTTGTGGTTGGTGAGCGGTGGGTCGGCTAAGTTAAGGCAGCGATGTGCTGCCACACCTCGCGCTCAGTGAGCGCTCCTAGACGTGGTGCCTTCTTGGGCTCCACCCGGCTCTTTGCTGCAGGCGGCTGCTGTGCTGCCGCTGCGCTCGCGGAGGAACCCGCAGAGTCGCGCTTCTGCCCCCCTTCGCCTGAGCCGTCGTTGGCGGCTGGGGCTTGCCGCTTGTTGCGGCAGCGCTTGCTGCGGAAGGTGCTGCCTCCACGTCGGACGGCTCGTAGTCCGGTATGTCTGCGTTGCCAGCTCCTCGGTAGGGCTGGCGTCCGGGAGCCTGCTGGCCTGCTCGGCCCCCGACTAAGAGGGCCTCGTCGTCGGGCCGCGGCCCGTCGCTGAAGAGCCAGGGCTCACCGGGCGGTTCTAGCCGCTCCACTTCCTCGGCCGGCGTGGCCAGAGGGATTGGAACCATCATCGGCTCGCTGCGTTCTGCTGGCGCTGAGCGGCCAAATCTGGGGTTCCAAGGCAGGCCGCACGCTTTGAGAACGGCTGCCGTCTGGTGCCGGGTCTCCGGCGGGAGTCGCCTGACGCTCCTCCTCACGTTGAGTGCGCCAGCTTCGGTTAGCACCACGTGGGAGTCGTCGCGCTCCAGCTTGCCGGCCCAGACCCCTTTGACCCAGCTCACTTGCGCTTTGTTCCCGGGCCTCGGGAGCTTAGCTAGAACGGTTTCCCCAAAAGAGCAAAGTGCTCCACCATAGTCGGTGCCAGTGGCGGCCCGATGTGTCACCCCGTCCGTCGACTTGGTCCCGAACCGGGCTTGCAGCCAGGCCACGTGCCTGACAAGCCACGGGAACAGGTTGGACGAGGTGTCCCACTCTAAGGCGGGGTAGTCCGCTCATCTTAGCTGCGAGAGCCAGGTGCGAACTTCACCTGCTAGGTGTGCGTTTCTTCCCTCTACGGATCCTTGGCTTTGGTGTGACCCGCGAGAGACGCACCCTAGCCGCTCCAAGCCGGCGGTGGACCGCACGGGCCACAGAGGCTATGGCATTCTCCTGGTCAGCCTAGGGTAAACTTGTCGTACCCCAGGCGATCCACGAACTGCTCCACTAGCCCTGCGGCGTAGGCCGCGTGTCTGTGCCCTTTGTGCGCCACGGGAACCGACAGAGTCCAGCCAGTGGCCCTGTCTGTGAGGTTCAGCACCGTGGCAAGCGACGCTTCTTCCTCAACTTCTTTCCCGTCCCGGCTATAGAACTGATAATCCATGGTGACAAGCGGCGTCACCGGATCATCCGAGGGCTCCCGGCGGCGGTGAGGGTCCTCGCGCGCCTTTCCCTCCGCACGCACTTCTCGCACCACGTTCCTGCGCCGTCGGGTTGCGCGGTGCCCTTAGGCCGCGTGGCCTGGAGTCAGGCTGCTCGGCCTGCTCCTCTAGAGGGGCGGGGTTCTCCTCTTCAGCAGCTTCGGCCTCCTCGTCGGCTGCTGCTTCCATCGCCGCGTCCTCCACCTCTCGAGCTTCGAGGTCGTGCTCCGGGATGTAGTCGTAGTGTCCCAGGTCGGCTCGGTGGCTCTGCCGCCACCGGTGCCACCCGGTTTGTTGACCTCGGCGGGAGCTCCCGCTCGTAGGGTAGGAGGAACTGTGACCCTCTCTTGAGGATCGAGGCTCGGACGCCGTCGGGCCACAAAATGTGGCTGTCCTCTCGGTGGAGCCAAATGCCGCACCGGCCTCAACAGCACGGCTGATGCTGAGGATTTCGTCCTCTATGTCCTCGGTCACCTCAAAGTTGACCTTGCAGGACTGGCGCTCCTCCCCTAAGACCCTAAGAGGAGGTTCGGCTGGACACGGCCCTTTGTTTTCAGGCGGCTGTTGTCCACCGAGTAAAGGCTCTTTGGTGGGCCCGCGGGCTGCAGGTCGGGAAACGCCTCGGGCCTGCACACGGACACACACGCCCCGGAGTCCACAAGAAGACTCCCCGACACTTGAGGATCTTTTCCTCTTCTGGCTCGGTGTCGTGAGGCGGGGCAAACCGCACACCTAAGATGCGGTCGTCGCGCACCTGGCGCACCTGGCCTTTACCGCCAGAGCCGCCAGTGCTTCCTCCAGCTTGGGACGCGGAGGGGCCCGCAGTCGCCAAGGAGGCTGTTGACAACGTTGTGGCCGCGTCGTCGGCCACCTGGGCCACTTGGCTTTTGTTGCCTTTGCCTTTTCCCTTGGCGTTGAACCAGCACTCTTTTACGGTGTGCCCCGTTTTCCAGCAGATGGGGCATCTCTCTTTGCCGTCTCTACCTCCTTGCTGGTTCCCCTTTTTGTCCCCTTTCTTGCCTTTGTGGTCGTGGTCGCCCTTGCCCTTTTTGTGGTCCTTGTCCCCTTTCTTGCCTTTGTCGCCTTTGCCCTTCCCTTCTTTTCCGTCTCGGTCCCCTATTCTGCCAATGTCCATGGCGTTAGGGTCCCTTCGGGAAGAGGCGGCGTAGCCCGCACTTGGGGTCCAGACCCTTTTGGCTTGCAAGTAGCTCACCACTACTTCCCTCACCTCGGCATAAGTCGAAAGACTCGCCGCGTGCATAGCGAGGTGTTGCCGAAGAGCGTTGGGGCTCTCGGTCACCAGCACTGCCCGCAGATCTTCATCTGCTAGGGCGCGCCCTGCGCCATACTCGGAGGCGTAGCGGTCCACGTCTGCCTCCCATTCCTGCAGAGCCAAGGAGAAGTCGCTTTCCTTTGGCGGGAACTTCGGCATCAGCAGGGTCCGCCTCCAGGTGAGGTTCTTGGACTCGTTCTCTGGGTTGTGCTCCTGCCGCAGGAGACGCCAGAGCTCGAACCCATTTTGGCCCTTCACTCCGTGCGCCAGCTTTACAGCTGTGGCGGAGTCCTGGGTCCAACTGCCCAGCATGCCGAAGAGGCGGACGCTGAGGGTCCGCACTTCTTCGGTCATGGCTGCCATTTGGAGTGGCACCTTGCGCTTTCGAGCTATTTCCAGCTCTGCCGGATACCTGGTGTCTACGACCGCCAGGTAGGTCTCTGCTTGAAAGGCAAAGCGCTCCCAGTCGTCTCGCCCCTTAAGGGAAGTTGGGAGACGCATGCTCTTGAGCAAGTGCCCTCCACCGCTCGCCTGCGCGGGCGCAGGGGCGGGCCCTGTTGTCTCTGGGCCGACAGCTCGCCAATCGCAGCCTGCAGCTGCTGCGCTTGGCTCTCCAACAACCCCCTAAGGGTTGCCACTTCCCCGCGCAGAGCCTCGACCACGGGGTCGCCCTGCGGGGGCGGATAAGCCGGTTGCTGGCTCATCCCTTGAAGCGTCGAAGATAGCCTGGCTGATCTCGTCCAGCAAGGTCAGGGCTTCTCCGTACTGCTCCGCCAGCCTTGGGTTGCCTTCCCAAGGAGTCGCTGGCCTGTTGCGAGCCGCGTGCCGTTAACTGGCACGGCCCTTGGCCCTCGGAGCTCTCCTCTGACTCCTCTTCCTCACCTTCGTCGGCCGGCGACGAGGTGGGCTTTTGCTCCTGCTCCGGAGCTTCCTCCCGAGGCGCGGGAGGTGCCCTCTCCTGGCCCTGGCTGCGCGGCCTTAGGTTCCTCCCTAAGCGGAGGCGGTGGCCCAAGGCAAGGCGGCGGCGCCCTACCGTTGGCCTTCGCTGCCGGAGCGCCTTTTGGCAAGGCCTTCGGCTCTGCCTCCGGCGTGGCCTCAGTGGGTCCACTCGCCGGGGCTGCCTGCCCTGCCCAGCCTTCCAGACCTTTCTTCTTTTGCCTCGTTCCCCCGAAGTCTGGAGTGTCCTCACCAGGCGCGGGGCCTACCTTGGGCACCGGCGCGGTGTCCAAGGAGGATTCCGAGCTAGGGCTCTGAATCTCCTGGCCGGCACCTGGAGGAGCTTGCTCCGGGGTGCGCGGCTCTGGGATATCGGTCATCCTCGTACCTCGCGGTCGCTTGGGAACGACCACCTCGGTAGTTCGGCAGGCTCCTGGGCCGCAGGCTTGCCCTTGCCGGACTTGCCTGCTGCTCTGCTCCCTTAGCTTGGGCTGCCTTGCCCTTTGCGGGCTGCGCAGCTCCTTTGGCAGGCGTGCCCTTGGTGGGCTTCCCTGCTCCCTCCTTTTCCGCGTCGGGGGGTTCGGCTCCCCCACGGCCCGTCGGGCCGGTCTTGCCTTTGCCCCTTTCGGGCTCGGCTGTTCTGCCCCGGTTTTGGTTCTCGGCTTCGGTGCGCTCGCCTATGAAAGGGCGGCGCGGTCGAGCTGGAGCTTCTCCTCCAGTCCCACTGGGAACTCCAGTCGGAGTCCCAGTCCCACCAGCCCCACCACTCGGACGTGGCGGCTGGCGGGTGGCGGTTCGGCCCGCGCACCCTAGGAGCGTCGGGGCCTACCGAACCAGCTCCGCTACCATGCGCGGAGGTTGGGTCGCGTATTGGGCTCACTATTTTCACTCTGCAAAAGAGGGCTGCGGTGAGTCGCAGTCAGGTTAAAGCCCTTTAGCTCAAACCCTCTTCTCTCTACACTGTACAGCTACTTACCTAGGTTTCCTAGTGTAGCCTACAAAAATCTCGCAACCACACCTGAAGGCATCCGGCCACGGCAAGGGACAAGGACACGGGCAAGATCGTTCGCTCACCCTGCAGGAGATAAAGCTGCGTACCAGGTGCCGGGCTTGCGGCCAAATTGGGCATTGGGCCAAGGAGTGTCGGCGCGGGCAGGGTTCGGCTGGTGGCTCTTCTTCGGCACCGGCATCTTCTACAAGGACGAGCTTCTTTTGGTCTTCCGATCGCCCCGGCCCTGCGGCTTCTTTCCTATGCTATGCCACCGGTTCCCCGAGCAAGGCCTCAGAAGAAGGACCGGACCGCACGACCGTTCCGAGTGAAACAAGCACTTCGTCCTTTGTTGGGGTTACGGTTGCGGGTTGCCAGGGCATTGTTGACACGGCGGCTCAGGAAGGGCTTATTGGAAGGGCTTCTCTACTACGTCTTCTAGAGGAGCTCCGGAAGTACGGCTTGAAGGGCCATTGGAGCGGCAAGGAGTCGGAGGCGAGAGGCATAGGGGGCCGGGCCAACACCATTGGCGTTTGTGAAGTACCCGTGGCGCTTGCCGGTGTACCAGGCATACTAGAGCTCACGGTTGTTGCCGAGGAGGTCCCCCTCTTGATTCCAGTAAATCTTCTTCATGCCTTGAAAGCCTCGGTCGACTTGGGAAACTCGTGCCTTTATCTTCCCGAAGTGCAAGCTAGCTGTCCCATAGAGTTCCTCCCGTCTGGTCATCCCACCGTCTGCGTCACCGACTTTGGTCAGGGATGGCATCTACCGGAAGTGTGCCAGAGTTTCAGGGCTGACAGCATGTACCGCACGGAGCCTAGGGCCAGGAGCGTGAACTTTGACTCCCGAAGCTCTGGCTCTTCTACAGCTTGGCTGGCTTCTGGAGGAGGCCGCCCCAATGCTTCAAAGCCGTGCCCTTGGACTGCAAAGGCAGCCCCGAAGGGAACCCGAGAGTCCATGGCAGGTTGTGCGGCCAGTTCGCGACCGCGCTCGCGCATGCCGAAATTGGCGGGCCGTTGTGGACAAGCTTCATTGTGTGCTGCAGCGGGCGCACTGGCAGGAGGTGGTCTCGGCTTGGCTTCCGCTTCCCGAACTTCGAGCTGGGACCCGTCCACGGCGGCCTCCAGCGCAGCGGCGGCTCCTACTACGAGGCTTGCCGCCACGGACAAGGGCAGCGCCTACAAGAAGTACCTCGAGGAGCGGAATCCCGAGGCCATTGTCTCCTCCGGTCGAGCCTGAAGGAAGGCTGTCTTGACGTCACCGGCTCCTTGATTGGCATGCGGTGGGTCCTGACCTTCAAAGCGGCAGAGCCCGACGCCGAAGGAAATGATCAGGTGAAAGCTAAGGCTCGGATCGTGGTGCTTGGATATAGTGCGCCGAGTCTGCTGGAGGAGCCCACCACCTCTCCGACAATGAGCAGATTGACCCGGCAGCTCTTACTCAACATGGCGAGTGCAATGAAATGGCCAATCGGATCCGGTGACGTCAAGACAGCCTTCCTTCAGGCTCGACCGGAGGAGCGATCCCAACGATTGCTGGCCAAACCGCTGCCGGAGCTGGCCGAAGCCTTGGGACTTGGTCCCAATGAGGCGGTGGAGCTGACGGGTTCGGCGTACGGACTAGCTCAGGCTCCACGAGAATGGTTTCTTGACATCCAGAAGACTTTGAAGAAACTGGGAGCACGGGCCAGTCGTACTGACCCTTGCTTATGGCGAGTCTTCGATGCGAACGGCAAGATCTGTGGCCTTATCGGCTCCTACGTCGACGACTTCCTCTTTACTGGAAACCCGAACTCGCCTACCTGGATCCGGTTCTTGAAGAGCTTCGAGGAGGCCTACACTTGGTCACCTTGGGAGTGGGGGAGCTTCGACTTTTGCGGTTTGCGGCTCACC